ATCCTTTTTTCCTGCTGCTTTTTGCGGTTGTGTCTCTGTTTTGCTTTGCATTTTTTCGCTTTACTTTTGCGTGCAACCAAAAATTAATCAAGTGCTAGTTACGCGAAGCGCGCAGTTTTTAATTAAAGCAGCATCAAAGCGAACTTTTTCCGCCAGTAAATACCCATATAGGAAAATCATATTTTTTATGGATCTGGATTCGCTTCGCGGGTGTTTGTTAAAGCTTTAAGACACCGCCGACACTTGCTGAGGTGATTTTGCAGAAGTAGCGCCGAAGGCGAGGAGCCACTGCAAAATCATAATACAAACCAATTTCATGCTGAATTAAACAGGAGGCGGGGGTCCTGGCAAACAATAGTTGAAGTATCCTGTCAACAGGCGGCGGCTAGCAATTACAACTACAACAACAGCACAATTCGCACAAAGGCAGCACGTGCATTTTGCGCTTTTTAACAAGGGGAATGCCACACACTTGGCCTTGGGCGAAATGAACAGCCACCGCAGCAGACCTCCATTTTCTATGCTTAATAAGCAGGGTAGCAAAGGTTGTTGGGCATAAGGAAATACTCTTTATAGAGTTTTTTTTAGAAATTTTGATTTTGAAATCACTTATAAGGATGCCGAAAAGTATGCAACAAAATATTTTAAGTTGGAAAGTCCATTGGATGCATTTCGAAAGAGTAATTTTTTACAGCATACTTTTGGACACCTTTATAAAAGATTTTCAAGCAATTGTAATTTTTAAAATTTTTGTTTTAATTAATCCACACAATGTTGAACAATTTACTGATATCCACTGTTATAGACCCTGCCGAAATATTCAAACAAACCGCTAACAAGCCAAAAAGTATGCTACAAAATCTTCCTTAATTTGAACAGTTAATAATCCGTACTTTTCCTATAAAATCTCTTATACGAGGTATTTTGTTTTCTTCAGAAGAGATTCCTTTAGTTAAAAAAACTTTAGCGGTGCTAGGATTATCACACGTAGAGCTGTCCAAGCCAGTTGGCCTGGGGAGAGTCCGGCTCCCTTTTCTTTTTCCCGATACCTCTCCCTATAGAGAAATGCACCTCAGGCACACCTCCAGACCTCCAGAGCGCTGCCCTTTTTCGATCTGTTCAGATGCGAATAATGCGGCTGGGGCGACGTGTCTCGCATAATTTGCAGCAAAGTGCACAACAATGGCAGAGCCCTCTGTCAGGAGCATTAGCATTGCTCTGGGTGGTGAAGATCTGGATGGGGTGTTCTTTCCGATGGGTGGGCGTGTGACGCGTGAAATATTAGAAATTAAAAAACACATGACAAGCAATGTTGGCACTTTGATTTGTCTGCCAGCCGCAGACAATGTTTTCTGCCCATCCCCTCCCGGTTTTAATAATAATTCTGCAGGAGGTACAAGTAAAACCCGGAGTGGTGGGATGGCAATTACAGTGGGATGGGGAATGAATGTCTGCAGGCCAAGCCAATAAATTAGGAAACACCTGTTTTTAGCCGGCCGAAGGCAAACGTGGCGACAGATGTCTGCGAGGGGGAATCGAAACTGTTTTCCTGGCCGTAATGAAAATATTATTCCGACTACATAATTTGTGGGACCCCCGAACACGCACACCTCCCCTGCGTCCTTAACCCCACCATGGGCTTTGGGGGTTTGTACGTAATTTATGTTACTTTTTTCTGCCGCTACTTGGCCGCATTTCGCGGTTTTTTATTGCTACGTGCGGAGAGAGAGGCAGCGAAAAAGATACAGTACAATGCACTGGGAAATCATATCTGGAAATTACTATACCACATAGATGAGGCACCATAGAAATTACTGAAGGTTTGAAATCACTCACAAAAGTGTCTGAAAGTAGGCAACAATATTTTTGTAATCATTAAGATCGACGTTATTTCTTAAAGCTTACTTTTACGCTTTTTATAAAAGGTCTTACAACCCCAGTGGCGTATCCATAAGATATTTTACTCAGCGAATATAGTTATTAAAGCACATATTATATATTGTAACGATTTCTTTCTCTGTACAGGGAATGAGAGGGTGATGGGATGAGCCGAAAGGATGGGGAACCAGGAGCAGACCACGCCATAATGTCGTCATGACAGACGCGGCCATAAAAGATAATTATGATTCCGGTAATAGGTTTTATTTTTCGCATGTACCTCTTTTGTTCATGGGCACAGCTCCCAGTTCAAAGTCCCCCTCGCACTTTCCCCACCGTTCCGGAAAAACCATTGCCAAAATCCTCCGCTGTTGTTGTTTTAGTTGGGGCAGTGGTTGGGTGGTGCTGGCACAAAGGTCGACCTCGGTGGTTCCCCGTCTCCGGACGGACGACTTTGCTGTGTCTACATTTACTTTTCGGGTGACCAACGTGGCATAGAAATTATGCGCATTATACGCGTCGCGCTCCAGCGCCTCGCTAAAAAATTATATCCGCGGAATTATGCGAACCACGGTGGAAAATGAGGAAAATAAGGGGTTTTAGTGGGAGGCAAAAGGGATAAGGGCTTATTTTTACATACTCCTTAAATGTTTAACAACCTGAATAAAAGACGGGGCCACGCAGTATAGGGTAATCAGTCACTAAGAAAATTTTGGATACCTCTAAAATTAGATTTAAGTGAGTTTTTTAAGTAAGTTTTCCAATAGCAACCTATTGATAAATTGCCAGCCCTGCATAAGCTTAAGTTGACTTACGTTCCCAATTAGCAGCCCATCAAGGGGTAGAATTTTCCGGGGATGGGGCAACAGTAAGTAGGAAGCGAATGCCGTGTTTGCTATTCTAATGAACTTGTCACGCTTATGAAGATTAATGCCACCTTGGCGCAGTTTTCAGCCAGCCGATTCGCAGTTTGAAGTTTCCCAGCTTGAAGTTGCCAGTGAAAAGCCAGCAGTTCAGTTCCATCCTAACAAAGAGTAATTGTCCCAACATGATAATTGCTTTAATGACGAATGCAAAACGAAGCGGGGCTTCCGAATTTGATTAATGTGCTACCCGGCAATTGACCCAGTTTTCAATTAAAGGCCGGGAGTGACAGGTTTCAAGTTGGCTTGTCCAAAATCACCCCGACCCCCTGGGATTTTCACCCATGCCGAGTTCAAACAAGGAAGCACCCAGGGAAATAGGGAAATGACAGTCCTGTTGATGTCTAATGGAAAACGTGTGCGGGCATAAAAATGGCCGCTAAGAAAATGCATAAAAATGTGTGCGAATGCGAGTGTGTGTGATGCTCGCCGAGGAAGAAAGGACATGCAAGGACAAACGGAAGTCACACACATGCTCGCTTATCGGGCAAAGTAACTTTTCCCCAGCAAAATGCCAAAGTCCATAAAATATTTTTACACACCAGATCTGGATCTGGAGATACTCCTTCGGTCGTCTAACTGGAGTAAGTTGAGTTTTGCGAATGGGGTCGCAGGGGACGGGGCATACCTACACGTATAAGGCTATCAAAAGGACCAAGGACTTTGGCCAAATTGTTTACACAAGTCATAAGCATTTTTTAGCGAGCCATCGCTGTCTGTTTGCCAGTGTATAAAAGCCCTGCCGGCATTTGCATAAACCTTTCCCTTCTGTTTGCCCAGCCCATTATCCTCCAGACCACCAATCCTCCACACCAATCCTCCACTCCAGTCCCCCGAAAACTTTTGACAACTGCAATAATCATAACTGCAACCGCCCGACATTGATTTCGATTTCGGAGAAGATTGGCGGGCGGCATTGCTCGACCGTTGGGCGCCATTAATGGAGCATTGTTTCACAAGTCGTTCTGAAGACCCGAGTGTTTGAATTTCCGCATGATTTGAGCTCAGTGCCATAAAGCAGGACCAAAGTTGTTCAAGTTTCTAGCGTTTTGAGTTTTATTCACGCGATGGATTTCACTGGGTCACCAATTGTAATTGATATGCCCTTCAAGGTGGTTCGGGGTACACCCCCTATTAAATGAACTTCTGTGTGTTTAGGTGTTCGCCGGGGATGATTTGAGGTTCTGATTTTCCGAGAAGGCAACTCCACATTACTTATCCAACTGAAGTAAATAGGTTTTGTGTTCCTGGCATTTTAGGTTAAACGATATTTTGTACCGTGACATGTTTGCCCGTCGCTGTAGTCGCTGATTTTGATCCATCCACCAATGATTGATGACACTTAATTGATGAACATCCCACCGCCTTCTCTGGGGGAACCCTCGGGGCAATGCCTTGGGTAAATATTTGCCATGTCTGGCTTAAAGTGGCCCAAAAGCGGCTTAAAGGCCCGTCCAGCTGTTGACAGCGGACCCGTAAAGCCAGCCCGGAATCCCCGAATACCGGAGTCTACGGTCACGGACGCAAACCGGACATTTTCCAGGTCACAGGTGCTTTTGTTGTCCGCATTAGATTTGCCTTCCGAACTCCGTACGATATCAACTACACGCACACAAATCTCTGGCCTCCGTGCATTCGGTCTTTTTGTTTGGCTGCCCTGTCCATTTGGCTGTAAAATTTATTTCATTTGTCCAACAGCCCGACCCCGCAAAAGGCATGACGCTGACAGTTTTATGGCAAAGTTAAGCCGATATCAACGGCAGGACATATGACCCGACCCCGTCCGCAGTGCCGCCCATAAAAGTGTAAAATTTAAAGCCTTTTTTGCCCTACCTTGGCGCACACAACAAGTGGGCCCTCCCCGAAACAAAACGGTATTTAGGTTTTCCGCAAAAACCCTTTCAATGGATTCACTCATGGCGGAAAGCAGATAGCAATTGTTCAGCAATGCGAGCATTAACCCATAAGAATGCATGGTCGAGTGCTCCGGCTGCCAGATATCCGATTGCCATTTACATTACGGCACTCTTTAAGATCGAAATTAATTAGGTCCCGAAAGAGTTACAGAAAAAAAACGGATGTAGCAAACATTACTGGGGCTTTGAAACCATCTAAAAGGGTGCTTAAAAGTATGCAACAGCAAGTGTTAAAGTCAATAGACCTCTATTTTAAATATATATTTCCATTACCAAGGTTATGTATAAGTACGTAACCGATACATATTTACATTATTAAGACTGTGTAAAAATACGTACAAAATTTGGAACGCAACTCATGGGTCTGAAAAATCTGATACTAGAATTTGGTAAGCCATTTGTTTGGTTCCTTAGGGAATGGTTTCCAAAGTTCCACCTATAGGAATATGGTTTCGTTCTCGCAAAAGTCCCGAAACCATTGGTAGGTGTTCAGCCTGGCGTGGACGACCCGTCCCAGGACGAAGAGTGGGATGGGCATGTAGTCGCCCTTCACCTTACCCCTGTTCAGGTCGGTGGTCAGCTTGACGTCGATCATGATGGTGGCATGGAGCAGGTAGAGCATCCCGCAGGCCAGCGAGGAGATGGACTGGCCGCGGAGGAAGTGGAAGACCGGGTGCACCGGCGGGTCCTCCGCCAGATCGGCATAGTCATCTTTATGGTGAATATGGGGATCCTTCTGGGTGATGAACATGTGGAACTGCCGCTCCGCATCCCACATCGAGGTCAAGGATATCAGGGTGAAGACAAAGGCCGCCGACGAGGCCTTCCAGATCTCCATGCAAACGGTTGGCGTGTGACCCGTGCAGATGTTGACGCTCTGGAAGAGGGTCAGCACCATGAACACGTAGAAGGTCACGAGGTAGAAGTAGTGGAACGCCCGCACGTCCCAGGTGTACGGGTCCAGTGCGATGGTCATGAAGCCCGAGATGTGGTAGCCCATGCAGAACATGTTGAAGACCGTTTCCAAGGTGTAAAATACGAACAGAACGGGTCGCAGAGCCTCGGGTTGGTAGTTCCCAACCACACTGTCTGCCGTTAGGACGCCAGTGGCATGGACCCATGTAAAAAGGGATCTTTCAGACATTTCAAAGAATTCCAACTAAAAACAAACGAATGTTGAGTGTTTTCCCGTGACATTTAACCAAAAGTGAAATATGTATACGGCAAGATTGCATTTTCCATTGTCAAGTTAACATTACTCGACGATAAAAATGACCTTGTTTTATAATCACTTCTATAAGGTTGCTAGCCTACATTCTTCCGCAAGGCTCATCTTGGTTATCAAATGAAAAACGTATGCATCTTTTTGAGCTTTATATATTGATTTATTATTAAAATCTTATTTTTAAATTTTTTACGAAGAGCCTTATAAAAAATTTAAAAATAAGACTTTGTATTACTGCCCACTTGATCTGCATTCGTGGAACTTCAAATATCTATAGTGTTGCTCTCGCAGAACTCCCGGAACCATTGGTAGCTATTAAGCTTCTGATGAAAAGCACGTCCCAAGACAAAAAGTGGGATGGGAGCGTGCCTGCCGTGGTCGTTGAACCTCGAGGTCAACTTGACGTCGATCAGTATGGCCGCATGGAGCATGTAGATAAGTCCACAGGCCAACGAGGAGATGGACTGGCCCCTCATGAATTGGAAGAAAGGGTGATTTGGAAGGTCCTCACGGAACTCAGAGTAGGCATGCTCGTCATGGTCATGGGCCACAATCGTGGCGAAGAACAAGTAGGACTGTCGCTCCGCATCCCACATCGTGGTCAGGGATATCAGGATGAAGGCCACCGCGCCCGCCGAGGCCTTGTAGATCTCCAACACAACATTGGGCGTGTGACCCGTGCAGATCGCGACGCTCTGGAAAGGAGTCAGCACCATAAAGCCGTAGAAGACGACCAGGTACAAGTAGTGGATAGTCTGTCCATCCGGGCCAAGGTCAAGTAGGTTGACGGCCTGGAAGCCCGAGATGTGGTAGCCCATGCAAAACATGTTGAACACTGTTTCCAGGGTGTAGAACAGGAACAGCACGGGACGCAGAGCCCCTGGCAGGTAAAACAGAAAGTCGGTGCTTTGGGAGGACAGCGGACGTCCTTGATAAGTCCCTCTGGTACTCATGCCGATTGGAAACATTAATTTTTGTGGGTACTTTTTTCGAAACCAAGTATCTGAAACGTAAGATGTCAGTGAATGAATGAAGTTTAAGTCTTCAAAAATAAAGTAGATGTTCATATAAAAATATTATAATATATAAGAATAGCATATGTTACTAAGCTTGTTGACTCAGATACAAAAATGCTCATAAATGATATTTCCAATCTATATAAATATATAGTTGTCCATATAAGATAACGATATCAAAGTGGTTCAACTGAGCTTTGGCAGAGCTTTTTGCACTATCAAACTTTTTCGGTTAAGAGTGGATGATTCCCTCGCTGACCATTACACACCTCATAGACACCTCGCAATTCTTGCCGGTGGTCAGTGCTCTCGGTGAGCTGCGAGCACGTTCTTCTGGTGACGCAGCTCTTTCCAGTTCACGAGCACGTAGCGCCACGCGATATTATGGTTCCGGTACTCTCGGGTTAATTAAATCGCTGCGTGCCGCTATCAATGCGCTGCTTATCAGCGCCCAAAAGAATTGCTATAGACGAAAAACGGGGAATATTTATCTCGGCCCGATGTCAACTTGCCAACTTAGACTCGTTTGGCTTTTTGGCTTTCAACAGTTGGCTCTGGCACGTAGACCCAAGTAGAACCCCGACCAGAAACGTTACCCACGATGCGCTCCTCCAAGTGGCCGCTTTCGCTGGTGATGCTGCTCACCTGCCAGTTGCTCCTCCTACTCCTAATCCGGCAGGTGAGAGGCGAAGAGAGCCACTGCACCTCGGTGGCCGGAATGGTGAAGCTACTCGAACTGGAGGCCCAGCTCATCAATAACCTGGAGGACTATGCCGTCGAGCTGGAGAAAAAGCTGGAGACCGTGAGAAGGTGGGTGATTATTAAGACTAAACTCCAATTCTCACTAAAAATTTACTCTTTTTGATTTTTTCGGGCTAGTTAGTTCGATTCCAACAAACAGCTATAGGGAAAACTTCCATAGGAATACATATATGTTTAAATCCTCTTAAGATCCTGAGTTACAAAAAAGTTCTAACAAAATACAGCTTTTTTTCTTTCTTAGAAGCATAACCAGCCTACGTTTGGAAAATGATAAAGCCCGCAGTTCCACGGAGGAGTATCTATCCAACCCCCTTAATTCATTTTCCCTTATACGTCGCATGAATCGCGACTGGATGATATGGCAGCTCTATATGGAGGATCCCATCGGTCTTTCACAGGTGGAAAAGATTCAAGAACTGAGGGAACACATGCCCACCAACACGGATGTGGAGGAGGCTGTCACCGCCCTGGATCGTATTCAAAATACCTATGGCCTCAAAGTATCACATATTGCCCATGGACTTCTCAATGGAAAACAGTACAAGTACGTTAGAGTTATTTCAATATTGATTAACAAAATAATCAAACTATACCCATTATACAGTGTGAGTTTCACAGCATTGGACACCTATGCCATGGGTCAAATCCTCTTCGACCAGGAAAACTACCTTGCAGCTGCTAGCTGGCTCTATCAGTCGATTGTTTTGATGGAGGTTTATAAACTGCCTGCTCCCCTGGAGCTTTCCAAGAACGAAGTGCAAATGGTCTATGCTGAAACTCTGTTAAAACTGAGTAAGTGATGATCCCAATAGAAGTATCAATAATAATAATCAATTCCAATTAGACCAGAACGCGGATGCCCTGAAAGTTGTCAATATTGCACTGACTGATAGGCCACATGACATTAAACTTTTGATGAAGAAGTCGGAAATCGAAACGTTGATAAGGACGGGAACCAAAAGTGCGCCCCTGCTGAAGGTAGGTAGCTGTCGGCAGGCCGATAAGGTCCACCACTGAGATAGGGCCAAAATAACCGAAGTGGAAATAGAAAACATTGCAGCTTCAGGGAACGGAGGCTCCAACTACCTACCAGATAGGCTGCCGAGGTCAGTTCCCAGCATCGACAGATGGCAGGCTTCACTGTCGCTATAACAGCACCACCTCGCCCTTCCTGATCCTCGCACCCCTCAAGATGGAACTGGTGGGTCTGGATCCCTATATGGTTCTTTACCACGACGTCCTCTCCGCGAAAGAAATAGAAGAACTTCAGGGAATGGCCACTCCAGGCCTGAAGAGGGCCACTGTCTTCCAGGCCTCCTCCGGTCGCAATGAGGTGGTAAAGACCAGGACCTCCAAGGTGGCCTGGTTCCCCGACTCCTTCAGCCCCCTCACGCTTAGACTTAATGCCCGGATCACCGATATGACCGGGTTTAATCTCCACGGCTCCGAGATGCTGCAGTTGATGAACTACGGGTTGGGTGGCCATTACGACAAGCACTACGACTTCTTCAACCAGACTGTAAGTAACTTTAGATGGTCTTGAAAAAATCTTATTCATCCTCAGTTTTATTTTCGTTCACAGAACTCAAATATGACTGCCATGAGTGGCGATCGGATTGCCACAGTACTTTTTTATGTGAGTAATTTTAAGTACTTCTTACTTTTAAATTATTTTTAAAATCCTCAACCTCAAGTATTACATAGATCTTATAATAAATTTATTCTGTTCTGATTGTGATTAACCATTATTTTATTATGAAAAACATATACTAAAATTGTTTATTTTGCCTTCCAAGCTAACGGATGTGGAACAGGGTGGAGCCACCGTGTTTCCAAACATTCAAAAGGCCATCTTCCCCCAACGCGGATCGGTTATAATGTGGTACAATCTCAAGGACGATGGTGTACCCAACACTCAAACTCTTCATGCCGCCTGTCCCGTTATAGTAGGATCCAAATGGGGTAAGAATTCATACGTTTTTAATTAATCCGATGTTAAAATCTATATTCTATCTCAGTGTGCAACAAATGGATTCGAGAGCGTGAACAGCTATTCCGCCGACCTTGTCTCAAAAAGCGATTGTGATTCTCAAGTTCTATTTTTAAAGAAGTGATAACTTACGAACACTATGAAACTCAATAAAGTCAAGTCAAAATCTATCATGCTGTCAATTATAGCCAATTTTCCAGCGATAAGAACAATTTGCAGTCAAGTCTCTCAACATTCCTAGTCGGAATGATTAGAGGTGTTTTCACCCAAAACCATTCATCATAATCAACTAGTGGAAATACCTGCCACATATCGCATTTCAATCAGCCCTAATTTGACACTTTGTTTGCATTATAATTATAAGATAACGAATTCGGCTCTTCAAAAATTGCGGTATTTTAAGACTTCTTGAAGGGTTACACATCTGTGATAAAAACTAAGACGATTTCAATAATGTATACCTTCTTAATGAACTCCCAAGTTTTCTTTAACCTACAAAATGTAGAAGTTTTAAATTTTATGACAATACAATTCGATTCAAAAGAGGCTCTACAACTATATTAAGAATATAGCTTGTTTGTTTATAAGTTCTCATATATAGGTGAAAAGTGCTGAAATGAGCCACAAATGGAAGCTCATTATGATGATTATACTCTCACTGGTCTATGGCGAGACCAAGGTACGAAGGGGACACTCCTTATCGCTGGTATCGATGGCTCTCCTTCTGGAACTGGAAAGCAAGCTTATCATTTTAGAAGTAAAAACTTCTATTTACGTTTTTTTCGTTTTATCTGAGTAGATCTAGGAATGACAATCTTGATACAAATAAATTTTGATATATTGAACACATTTGTATTTAATAAGAAAGTCAAGGCTCCAAATGGAATGCATATCGAAGAAATTATTAGGATGTATCCTGACCCTGCTGGGAACTTTTGCTTTAGTTCATGGAAGTAGTCAACAACAAACAAACCACGCCTTATCGGTGGCATCTATGCCTCTACTCCTAGATCTAGAGACGAAGTTAATAGACAACCTTGAAGACTATGCAAATGAACTGGAGGAGAAGTTGCATATCTTTCGTAGGTGAGGGTTCCTCCAAGTATCGTATGTAGTATTCTTTAATGCTTTGATCCTCAGTTACATACCAGTTATGCGGACAGAGAATGAGAAGGGACGACTGGACCCAATGTCTTATCTGTCGAACCCCCTTAATGGTCTCTCTCTCATCCGAAGATTGCATCAGGACTGGTTCAAGTGGCAAAGCTATATGGATCAGCTAGTTGGCACTGTCCAAATGAGAAACCTTGATGGTTGGCGAAAAGATCTTCCCAAAAAAGCGGACCTTTCTGATGCCTGTGCTGCCATTGTCCGCATACAGATCACTTATGATCTCAAAGTTGGAGATATTATCAAGGGTAAACTCGATGGCAGACAATATAAGTGAGCATTTAAAAGGATGCGGTATAAAATTTATATTTTTTACAAACTTTCTCAGTTCAAGCATGAGTTCTGCGGACATTTTTGCCATTGGTCATTATCTTGCCAAGGGAAAAGCTGAAGCAGAAGCTGTTCCATGGCTGCAGGAGGTAACCCAGGATGTAAGGGTCATGAAATTACTTGCGGAATGCCATGTAAAACAAAGTTAGTAGTTTCTTTATCTACCATACCAAATCTAATCACTACCACCTAGAGCACTATACAAAGGCACTGGCTTTGCTGGAAGGTGGACTGAAGTTCGAGCCCTACAATGCTGATCTCCAGCGACTCCGGAGTAAAACTAAGAAACTGATTGAGATCTACCAGAACAACACACTTGTTGAAGTCAAAAAGCCTGAAGATCCCATGATAAAGGCATTTACATTGGCTTGCAGGGGCTTGACGGAGGGCTCCACTAGACTCCACTGTTTCTACAACTTTAACACCACTCAATTTCTTCGACTTGCTCCACTCAGGGTTGAGGAAGTCGGATTGCATCCTTATGTGGTCCTCTACCACGATGTGCTTACCCGAATGGAATCGGAAGAGCTAATGGAACTGGCTCTTTCTAGTTTAAAAGTCAGTGGTGTCTTTCAAGTCCAAGGATTAGCCTTCAAGCGGATGAGGACTGTTAAAGCTCGTTGGGTAAGGAAGGAAACGAACGATATGACCAGACGAATTACACGGCGAATACGTGATATGACGGGTCTGGATTTAACATCTTCAGAAATGTTTCAGGTAGGATTTTGAAATAGTGTAAAAACTATTGTGAAACTAAACTAATTTAGTTACAGATCATCAACTATGGCATAGGTGGCCACTATAACATGCACAAGGACTACTTTAACTTTACAAATATCAATAATACCAAGAAAAGTACGATCGATAAACTAGGAGACCGCATTGCCACTGTTCTGTTCTATGTGAGATTGGTTTGAAATTGTAGATTTTAGGAAAAACGTCATATTCTTTCTTATCCTTAGCTATCCGATGTTGAACAGGGTGGAGCCACTGTCTTTCCCAAGTCAGGATACACCATTTATCCTCGAGCTGGCACTGCCCTCTTCTGGTACAACCTTCATACGGATGGAATCGGTGATCCATCGACTTTACATGCCGCCTGCCCTGTAATTGTGGGCTCCAAATGGGGTAAGATTTATTTAATTTCCTTAACCTAAGGTAACTTTAATATTAATATCAATTTTTCTGCCAGTTATGACCGAGTGGATTCGCGAACTGGGCCAGTTGTTTGTTAAGCCCTGCTTAAAACCGTCATCTGAACCATAATTTTAAAGAAAGAATTTAGCTGCTAATTTAATCTAAGATATTAACATATTTAGTTCTTATTGAATCCTAAGTAGGCCAGAATAAATGTCAATTTACAAACTATTACTTGTGTGATAACGATAACACATGGCTTCAAAGAGTAAAGAATGGGGTCGTTTACCAGGATACCTCTTGGCCACGGTGATCCTTAGCACTGTGGTTCTTGGAAAGAGTCCGGTAGAGAAGAGTCACTCCCTGTCACTGGTGACAATGGTGCCACTTCTGGAACTAGAAAGAAAACTGATTGATAACCTCGTTAACTATACGAACGCCCTAGAGGAGAAGCTACAGACTGTTCGCAGGTGAATTTCGGCTATCCTGAAGAAAATTTGCTTCTGTAAAACCCCTATTCTTAGTCAAATCCCACTTATGCGTTCTGAAAACGAAAAGGGAAAGCTGGATGCCATATCTTATCTGTCCCATCCTCTGAATAGTTTTTCACTCATCCGACGACTGCATCAGGATTGGTTTCAATGGCGCAAGTTCATGGAACAACCTGTGGGAGTCTCCCAAATACGAGATATAGACACTTGGCTGGAAGAACTTCCCACAAAAATGGATCTATGGGAGGCATGCACTGGAGTAGTCCGCATTCAAAGAACCTACAACCTTGAAATCAGCGATTTTATCAAAGGGAAAATCAATGGCAAGCAGTATAAGTGTGTAGCACTACTAATATTTTATTACAAGTTTTCTAACACTCATTTAAGTTCTAGCATGAGTTGCGGCGACATTTTTGCAGTTGGCCATCATCTTGCAAAGGAAAATAGATCTGCGGAAGCTGTTCAATGGCTTCAGGAGATTCCTAACCGTCTCCAAGAGGAACTTTTGGTAGTCCCAAAGCATCTGACTGTCGAGGAAGTCGAGGTTCTAAAGTTACTCGCCGAGACCCACTTGAAAGAAGGTTAGTTGTTGTTTTTATATAATTTATTCAAAATCTAAACACTTACTCAGAACACTATACAAAAGCCTTGGTTCTGCTGGATAACGGCCTAAAGATTAAACCGCAGGATGCTACTTTTCTGCGACTTCGAAGGAAAACAAAGGACCTTTTAAAAAAGCAACCAGTACCTATACCTGAAAAAACAAAGAAAAAGGAAGTTTCAGTCAGAGATATTTATAAATTAAGTTGCGGGGGCATGATTAAGAAACCATCTAAACTGCATTGCTTCTACAATTTCACCACCACTGCGTTTCTTCGGTTGGCACCTTTAAAAACAGAGCAAATTGGATTAAATCCTTATGTAGTGCTCTACCACGAAGTTCTCTCCGCTCGGGAAATATCAATGTTAATTAACAAGGCAGCTCGAAATATGAAAATCGCCACAACCTACACTGTTTACCCTACCAAAAAGAACAGGGGAAGGACAGCCAAGGCCTATTGGTTTAATAAGGAGAATAATAAGCTAACAAGGCGTATTACTAGGAGGATTCAAGACATGACTGGTTTTGACTTGACCGACTCGGAAGAACTGCAGGTGAAGCTAATAGCTATAATAAAATCAGGAATATCTTTAAATATTAAATATTATATTTTTATATTACAGGTGATCAACTACGGCATAGGTGGGCACTATCTTACACACTCGGATTACTTTAACTTTGCATCTGGTAATTACACAAGAAAACGGACTCGCCAGGGTGCCGCTTTGGGGGATCGTATTGCCACAGTGCTATTCTATGTGAGTAGATATAGGAATATATATAGGAATTATAATTTTTCCATCCCTTCCAGCTAACTGACGTTGAACAGGGTGGAGCCACAGTCTTTGTGAACGCAGGATATTCCGTATATCCCCGGGCTGGAACTGCCATCTTCTGGTACAACTTGAATACGGATGGGAACGGAGATCCCCTCACCAAACATGCCGCCTGTCCCGTGATTGTGGGCTCTAAATGGGGTGAGCACCGAGCCAGTGATTAACCTTAAATTAAATCCCCTCAACCCCAACCTTTCACCCAAACAGTGATGACCGAGTGGATACGCGAACGGCGGCAGATCTTTATCAGACCCTGCCTGCCCCGCTCCAAGGGAACCTCTCCAAAATCATAGACAAACAAATTTCCGGCATAATCACTCTGCACACTTAACAAAAAACCCTCGCAGCTCAGCTTAAATGCCTTTTTAAAATGCCAACACGGAAAAAATAAAGTGCTGAGTGGTTGATAGTCCCTGAAAGTCGAACAGGGGGGCAAGGAAGGAGGGGCATCTGCTCCAGGACCAAGGTAAAACCAAAGGCCACCGCAGCCGCATTTTAGCATACTCCTAGGGAAGCTCCTTCCCCAATTCCGATCCTGATTCCTGGATTCTGTTGTTGGCGTCTAGTGTCTGACACCGCGTACGTGATGTGCAACTTAATGTTTCAATTAGAGGTGAAGTGGCGCCCGAGCAGGGGCCATCGTTATCGCTTCACTGCACTGCGAGAAACTGCTAACGAGACTTACTAATTTAGAATTAGTTAAAAATGCCTTTAATTAGCTATAAACTTTTGGGCGTTTGTCTTAGTATATAACTTTTAACTTAATGGTTTTATTTGAGCTTTAGTGGCGGCCGAAAAGGGTCCTTTATCTTTTCGTGGAATAAATGAGCTATAAAATTGTAGTTCTCCTGTGAATAAAAAGTGAATTCCACCAAATTGAAAAGAATTTAATCGTTTTTATTTTTTAATTAACAATTTTTTTTTAGTTCATTTTTTCAAGTGCTACTTTATTTTTGCATGTGTACTTGGGTGTGTTTGCCTAGCTGGGATACGAGTATCTCTATCAGTCTGTGCACTTATCTGCTTTTAAAAACTTTTAATAATGAACTCTCGCCCACCGCCAAGCGACGTGTTGGTGTCAGACCTTTGGCCCCCGACCCCTGACCCCAGGCTCCCCAACCCAGCTGACTCGGCAGTTTTGTTAGTTAAACCCACGTAGCCCACTCCAAAACACACCTTTTGTTTGAGTTATTTGCATGTAAGTTAGTTACTATAAGGTTTAATATTGAGAAAATACAACCGAATTGTGCGAGATTTCCCCAATATCTTTAATAAAATCTTATGAGGGGGTTGCTCCGCCTGGCCGTCCAACACCTTTTAATAAAGCGCAATGTCAATAAATAAGAATTGCCGACATATGCGAAAAAGTCCTGCTGACTATCAAGGGGCCAAACGCAGACCCATCTAGCCTGCCAGAAGTCCCAGTGTCCTGTACAGGAAATCAAGGATGATAAAGGATCAAGCCCCGAACCCAAGACAGTCGCACATATCCCGCACAGCCTCAAAGGAGTTGTACCTAAAACGAATTTCGATTTGATTGTGTGCACTTTATGGTGTGTCCTCGGCCCAACAACCTCCTCTTTGCCACAGAGATGATTACATATGCGCAGACCAATAATTTTGCCCACAGCCAAAAGAGTAAAAAATCGCATCTAACAAGGTTAAGAAATGTTCCGAGGCAGAGAGCATTGATTGTATAAATCTAGTAAAATGTTTTATATGCGCACCGAAGATGAATGTGTGGGTTGTGCAGGCGGAAAAGGGTTGGCCACCCACATTTTGTGGTCAATGAAGGAAATATGATTTGGATTTTGTTACTTTGATTACACACATTACATGCGAAAAATGAAAAAGTAGCAGAACACAGCCCAGACAGACGGACCAAAGGGGTCAGGGCCGAGCAACGTGTGTTAAATTTCAAGTTGCGGTCTGCCGTCGTAAAGCATTTGATGGGTTCCCCAGTCTTCGCGCAGGAAATTGAGTTTTTCGAGCAGCTGGCCGGCTAGAAAAATATATGTATCGCTAGAGAAAGAAATGCCTCACTCAGGGTCAGCTCGGGCAAATCGATAAGTTGCGTCGGGCTGATTTAAATTTAAATCTAGATATGCCACCGATCGGCCGATCAATCGATGGACCCGCCTTTCAACACCTTCATCGGCAAGGTGAGCTGTCTATTTATACCTAAACAAGTCACCGAAAAACAAGACGTTGCCCCCGCTCTTCACTGTGGGAAAAATGGTATATTTAATTGTAAAAATAAATATTAAGCTATTAACAGGAATTTACGATATCAAAGGACTTAGCAAAAAATATGATGCTATCAAAGCAAATTAATGATATCTAACGCGATATTAAATAAATCTCCAAACGTAGTGTTTAAAATCTTCAGATGTCATTATATAGCTATAATGTTTAAAGATCAAGATAGGCTTTTCTAGGCGTAAGTAAATCCTTTCAAACATAGAAATATTTCTTTAAATGTTTACCCTAACTATGTTTTGATATATGCCTTAAAAAATTTTCTTAGTATTTCCTTAAGGGGAACAAATACATATTGATGTGCAAGACATGAATAGTATTCATTTTTTTACTCCCCCAAGTGTAATTATATTTTTTAAGATCTCTACAAGTTATCCCAGGGTCTTCAACATGGTATTTCTATCTCCCACCCCTATAATTGACATTTTTTGGGTAGTGCAGACTGATCATCCGATTGGAGGTGGTGACAGGTGCCAAGGCAGAGCATCGGGTGCAGTGCACTGGCATCGATCTACTCGATACTCGAAGTACTCACTCGGCGCAATGTCGACTGCCAATTCGGGCACCGGGCATAAATTGATTAAATGCCAGTGGAGGGGCTCACAATCAATTACGGCAGGACGAATTTGAATTTGACATGGGGCGAAGTGGAGTGGAGTGATTGCATAATCTGCCGGACAGTTGCATTCAAATCGCAATGGCAATCGCAATCAGCCGGGGACATCCAGTGCCGTCCAGTCAGCCAGTGGAAATCAATGCCAAAGTTGATTTACGTGTGCGGACGTTCGTCAATTGTCCTCCGACGAGGCGAAACAGCACCGAAAATCCCCATATCGAAATGATTTGGCCAGGGCCCACATAGAACCATACAGCCAATGACAAATGCAGCTAAACGAATTATGTCTAATGGCATTTCAGGTTGAAATGCGATTAAAATGCAATTTGAAATGCAAAACATTTCCCTCTCCGAGCGATTTGGTTACACTTTAAGAGTTCTCCTGTCTGCTGGCTCTCGGCCAGAAGTTCTGTTTCGGTTTCTGCCTTTTTGCCCCGGCAAGTCCACAAATTGTGTTTTGTGTTCTGCGGTCTTGTCTGGGAGGCCCCTTCTTTTGGCACCTGGCTGACCATTAAGGGGCTGCGATAGATTGACTTCAAATGTTTTAGAAAATCTTAAATCGCGCAGCCAAAATTTATGTCGCCCCGTTGGACAATTAAAACTCCATTGCGCCTAGGACAATGAAGCCAACCAGCCAGGCAGTCAGTCAGTTAGTCGGGGAAATCTATTTTCTGCCTGCCAAGAAATTTCCCGCAGCAAGTCTCCCGTTTCTTGGGTACCTTTTGTCACCTCAGACGATCCGACTTCTACTTCTTCCCCGGACGACAACGAAGCATAATTTATGCGCTGGCATTGGCCGGAGACTCGGAAAATAAATGGGAATGGTATTGTGGGACAATGAGCTGCTGAGATGGTAATGGAGTTGCTCTTGGATGCACAACCTGGCCAGCGAACACATTGCTAGACAAGCGAACATGACAGCGGCTATGTCGTCTGGGCCCTCTTTTTTCTGCGGTGGAATTTCACGTGGAAAAGCGCAGCCAGCAAACGTAAAAATTATTTTAATTAAAGCAGCAGCAGAAAAAGGGATAATGTTGAAGGAAAGTCGAATATCAAGTGCCCTTATGTATCAGAAATTAAATTTAAGTTTACATTAATCTTCAAATCTAATCTAATCTTCTAAAAATTAATTTTCTAGGTCCCTTGATATTAATTTTTGAATTCTTAATTTACTTTTATTATAAAATATATTTTTGTTGCAGATTTAACAATGTTTAAAGGAACAATCTTATATTATGTATATATTGACAATGTGACTTTTAAGACCTGCGTTTTTTTTACGATGATTTAGTTTCCTCAGGACAGAGCCAGTTTCTTAGCACCAACCTACACATCAGTAAAAACAATTTGGTAAATATTTGACCTCTTTAACATTTGTGGTTTGAGTTCCGCATCTACTCCTGCATTTTTAAGGATAGTTTTTTGTACACATAAAAATGTAGATAAATTAGTGAGACTTTCCTAGGAAGTCTAAAAGTCCCTTTCCCACTAAAGAGTATTAAAACGAAAGAGTTTCGCTGGCGGACAATGAACGAGGTGTCTTCGCCGGCGAAGAATAAAAAGCAGTTGCGATCGGGGGGCGGGAAAGTGGGATGGGGAAAGTGGAAAAGAAAGTCTGCATTTGTCATGATCTGTTTGTTTTGATGTATGGCCACGTGATTAATTTAGCCAGATCGCGGAGTTTGTGGCTCCGTGTCGCGGGCCGTGATTTATTTCTCTCGATTTGCACTTTGTTAGCGAATCCCGTCCTGCCTGGGCTTATTTAAATTCATTTGCCCAAACTGCCAAGTAAGTGGCACCCGTCCCCGTCTCCCTTCTTTTTTCCCTTCTCGTCCGACATATTGATTACGTTTTTTATGGAGCCATCACCTGCCATCCCGCCGACAAGTAATTTGCATATCCATGGACTGCGGATACGGACTCCCCCGAATAGGTAAAATCAAATCAAGGCAAATGTTCGCCCGCAGATGCGACACCTCGCAAGTATCTTTGTATCTGAGTCTCCGTCTGTTTTCGGCATTTCTATCCGTATCCGTGCCGCAACAGCTGCACACACCTACACACAATTTGATTTTATGTTTGCACACGCAGCAACAATTTCATTGTTTGCAAAATAATTGCAAGCCTTCGCAGCAGCTGTGCCCGCAAATCCATCCACCTTCCCACCGCCCCCCGTTTGCCAAAAAAAGAGGGAAAAAAGAAAAGTGGGCGGCACTGGGAGAGTGGAAAAACAGGGATTTTCCCGGGCAAATTGCTGGCAAAAGTAGTCCCAAACAATTAGCACGGAAACAATGGATGAGCCAATATTTCGGTTTGGTTGATGGCCCTAAAAATGGATTATTGGCCAGTGGGCATAAATTCAGTTGCAGTTGACTCCCCCTCTATCTCTATCCCCCCGGAATTTCCCCTATGGAGGAGGGGATCCAGCACTCGATGCCGCAGCTTTCACCAACCGGAAGTCCACTCCATTTAATGCACGAATTTCGCGCCATTCCCGCTGGTCAGCTTTGAAAGCCAGTGTGTGT